ACATAACATGATGGTGGAAGATCAGAAAATAACATAATAATCACCAATGAAATTAGGCATTGCCGATTTCATAATGCTAATATGGATTTCCTCTAAGGGCAGTCACACAGAACATACTGTACTATGTTGTTTATATGAGAGACAAAAAGAGAAAGGAAAAAGGAAAAATCCAGAAAATCACATTGTCTGATTTTTAAAGACTTTATTTGCAAATTATGGTGGAAAATAAGTATCTGGTCAATAACAAAAGTTCATCTCAATACTTTGTTATATACCCTTTGTTGGCAATGACAGAGGTCAAACGTTTTCTGTAAGTCTTCACAAGGTTTTCACACACTGTTGCTGGTATTTTGGCCCATTCCTCCATGCAGATCTCCTCTAGAGCAGTGATGTTTTGGGGCTGTCGCTGGGCAACACAGACTTTCAACTCCCTCCAAAGATTTTCTATGGGGTTGAGATCTGGAGACTGGCTAGGCCACTCCAGGACCTTGAAATGCTTCTTACGAAGCCACTCCTTCGTTGCCCGGGCGGTGTGTTTGGGATCATTGTCATGCTGAAAGACCCAGCCACGTTTCATCTTCAATGCCCTTGCTGATGGAAGGAGGTTGTCACTCAAAATCTCACGATACATGGCCCCATTCATTCTTTCCTTTACACGGATCAGTCGTCCTGGTCCCTTTGCAGATAAACAGCCCCAAAGCATGATGTTTCCACCCCCATGTTTCACAGTAGGTATGGTGTTCTTTGGATGCAACTCAGCATTCTTTCTCCTCCAAACACGTCTAGTTGAGTTTTTACCAAAAAGTTCTATTTTGGTTTCATCTGACCATATGACATTCTCCCAATCCTCTTCTGGATCATCTAAATGCTCTCTAGCAAACTTCAGACGGGCCTGGACATGTACTGGCTTAAGCCCCAAGGTCCCCGCTGGCGGGGACCCTGGTTTTTTTTTTCACGACACTGTGTCTCAGGGCATCTTAATATTTAAGAACCTATTAATGTGTTATACCAGATTAACGGAAATAATCTCAGCTAACTGNCTTCTGGATCATCTAAATGCTCTCTAGCAAACTTCAGACGGGCCTGGACATGTACTGGCTTAAGCAGGGGGACACGTCTGGCACTGCAGGATTTGAGTCCCTGGCGGCGTAGTGTGTTACTGATGGTAGCCTTTGTTACTTTGGTCCCAGCTCTCTGCAGGTCATTGACTAGGTCCCCCCGTGTGGTTCTGGGATTTTTGCTCACCGTTCTTGTGATCATTTTGACCCCACAGGGTGAAATCTTGCGTGGAGCCCCAGATCAAGGGATATTATCAGTGGTCTTGTATATCTTCCATTTTCTAATAATTGCTCCCACAGTTGATTTATTCACACCAAGCTGCTTACCTATTGCAGATTCAGTCTTCCCAGCCTGGTGCAGGTCTACAATTTTGTTTCTGGTGTCCTTTGACAGCTCTTTGGTCTTGGCCATAGTGGAGTTTGGAGTGTGACTGTTTGAGGTTGTGGACAGGTGTCTTTAATACTGATAACTAGTTAAAAACAGGTGCCATTAATACAGTTAACAAGTGGAGGACAGAGGAGGCTCTTAAAGAAGAAGTTACAGGTCTGTGAGAGCCAGAAATCTTGTTTGTTTGTAGGTGACCAAGTATTTGGTCACCTACAAACAAACAAGATTTCTGGCTCTCACAGACCTGTAACTTCTTCTTTAAGAGCCTCCTCTGTCCTCCACTTGTTAACTGTATTAATGGCNTGATCCCTAACATTCTAAGTGGCTAAGCGTAGCCCACGTGGCGTATTGCAAAAGTTTTTTGTACGGCTCACGGGTGTCAAACCCCCCCCCATTCTCACGGTGTAGCCGATGTTAAACCCGGACTTGAGCGCGTACCGGTAGCTTTTTTTTATATATTATAGGAAGAGTAGGACAGTCGGGGTGAGTTCGTCTCTGCTAGAAACCGAAGCGTGATGTCTCCGGCCTCGAGGAGCAATAGTTGTGTGTTCCTTAGCTCCTGCTTCTCTTTGTGTCGCATGGCGTTTATATGGATGTTCAGTTTGCAAAACCGTTGTGAAGCTAAAAGTTCTTTCTGCCAGTTAACGCAAACGGCGTGCACTTGCAACGGACTAGTCGGAAAAATCGGCGTCAAGAGGTCACTTCCCCCTCTGAGGGAGGCGTTCGGCCAACCGCATCAAAACCGGTAAAGGCAACATGTCTGGCTGCATTGTCGCGGGACAGACACGTGTGCCTCTGGGCGTGAGACCAGCAGCCACTAGATGGCGGAGACCTTTTCGGAAGTGTTCATGCAGCCAACCTGTGGTTAACTGCCATGCGTAAAGCTAACAACGTACGGCATGGACCGCATGGTAAATGCGACGGTGGGGACCAATGATGTTAACATGAAATGGACCTCTCAAAAAATTCCATTTTTATTGTCGTATTAACTTAATCGTCAATGATCATCTCTCTTGGTTTATACGTTTCGGGGGTACGAGTAACAAATTAATACTAACGAATTCTATTCCTTATTTTGTTTTTAGGAGACAGCATGGTATAACTTTAATATAAAAACGTAACAACAACTTAGCGTAGTCAGCGGGGCATAGCGGTATTATACTAGTTTAGCGATAGCTTGACCGATAGCGTTGTCCGCCACTTAGCATAGCATAGCGGACCAAAGTTTCATAGAAATTACAAGCGAGAAGGAACCAGACCCTCCCAGAGCCCCGCTGTCGGTCCCCCCCGTTCCGTCTCGAGGTACCTCCCCCAGAGCCCCCTGTCGGGCGCCCCGTTCCGTCTCAAGCTCCTCGTCCCCGGCCCGTAGCTCCCACTTCTGGTGCCGACCGCGTTGAGTCCTCCGGCCGAACGTCGCAGCGTTCCGTAGCCGACCTTCTCAGTCCTCGGCCGGCTCCGCTTGTGCTCGGTGAGTCCGCCGGCCCGAACTTCGCAGCTTCGTCGCCGACCTTCTCAGTCCCTCCGGACCGAGCTCCGGCTTCTGGCGCGTGAGTCCCCCGGTCCGAGCTCCCACTCCGGCGCCATGCGACCCCTTGAGTCCCCCGATGGAGAAACTTAACAAGCAGCAGTGGTCCACTGAAGAGACCAGCTACCTACTGGGAATCTGGTCTTCTGAAGAGGTACAGAGGAAGCTGGAGCACAATCGGCCATTGTTGTTGTTGTCGGTGTGAGCTGTGAGGGGTTTCCGCACGGTTTGGCTTTATGAAGCAGGCACGCAAACGATGACGCAATGACACAGCACCAGTCGGACTCTGGGCGGTGTGAAAAGAGCCGGAGCTAAACCGAAGAACCGGTTCTGAACCTGAAAAGCTCTGGCACGGAGCTTGAACCGGAGTTGCGTTGGTGTGAATGAGGTATCTGACCATTCAGCAGTAAGGTTGGGAACCGAAACTCGGTTCCAGGTGAGAACCGATAAGAAAGTACCGGGTACCCATACAAAATACACAATTTCGGTTCTGCTTAACGGTTCCTAAACGCGGTAGACCCTGTATTCCACCGGGTCCGTCTGTGCCGCAGTGACTCGGTGGAATACAGGGTAAGGGCGGACTGGCCATCTGTGTGTTTAGGAGAATCACAGAACGGCCGGTCGTCAGGCTCGGTACGCTGACGGCCGGCATTTTTTTAAACGGCATCATGTAAGTTGCGCTGACAGGCAACAGAGGTCCACAGTTGCCCAGCAGCGAGGCTCCCCCGCCCTCCCGTAGACAGTTCACGAGCTCAGTCACTTCATAACAACAAAGATGGATCGCGGTAAACGCTCTAAAGTGAGGCTCCACTACACTAAGGAAGAAAAAGACAAGGCACAGTGTAATGCCTGTTAATAGCTAATAGCTCAGTTAAAGTAAAGCACAGCTATTGTGCAATACATTTGTATTGCATGTATATTTTTTATTTGTAAAAATGTCAGTTAAAGCTTAAATGAATAAAGATATTTTTGTTATCTAAATGTTTGACCTCTTTTTTTTACACTTTTGGAATCTAAACGGGGAATCGATAAGAACCGGAATCGATAAGCAGAACCGGAATCGGAATCGATACATTTCAAACGATACCCATCCCTATTCAGCAGTCGAGAGTGTTTACGTCACTAGTTTAGCATATTCAGCCCGGTTATTGGCCCGGTAAGAACCTTGATTTTGGAGGGCCAGAAACAACGTGAAAAAGTAGCCCTGAGCCAGAACTATCCCTATTGGAAAAGCAAAATAAAACGGGCCGGGTTTGGCACGGCACGCTTAAACCGTGCTACTCGCTGCAGTGGAAATGCGCCATTGGAGACTTGAGAAAAGTGCTGACTCACTCATCAAACTCTAGCTTAAGGAAACATGCAAATGCTTTATAACCAGAAACAAGACAACTTCAAGAATGTTACAAAAACAATGCATCTTCTCCAGTTTTGCTGAGAATTCAGACTCACTTCACCGAGGTTTTAGAGAACTGTGATATCAATATGGATATTTTTGGCATTCTTCCATTGTTGCTTTAAATAGGACATATAATGCTAATTTTCAGGTTCATAATTGTATGTAGTGTCTCTACTGTGACATGTCTCCATGCTTTAATGTTCAAAAAGCTCTTTATTTTTCTCATACTGCCTGTGCTGCAGCACCTCTTTTCACCCACTGTCTGAAACCAGAGCCCTGTCTGCTCTGATTGGTTAGCTGGCCAGCTCTGTTGTGATTGTTCAACCGCTTAGAGATGTCCCGCCCCTCAACCAATCACAATGTGTTGGAGCACAAGCCAATAGAAGCACGAGTGTTACATAGTGATGTCACTGTGTACAGAAGTAAACAAAGGGGACCAATGGAGGTGTTTCAGGCAGGGGGGGAGTGTTTGGGAGAGAAACTCCCTCTGGAGGGAACACATGGATTTTAGCCTTGCAGACCATTTACATGCACAAAAACGTATACACACTACAGGGAAGGGCAAACCATAACAAACAGAATATGGCTTCTTTAAATAGCAAATCATTCTGATATCTGTGTATATCTTTTCATTATCTCCTTCAGGTGGAAAACCCCAGTATGCCAAATGACGAAGGCATCACTCCTCTTCACAATGCCGTGTGTGCGGGCCATCACCACATTGTGAAGTTCCTGCTTGACTTTGGAGTCAATGTGAACGCAGCTGACAGTGATGGATGGTCAGTACCTTCAGCCGCTCGCTCAATCATGTAATAGTCCAGACTAATAGTAGCACAGTGGCTGCTGAAGGGCTGCAGGGTGTTTGGGTAATGAACACGCTCTGTGATGCTGCGGCTCAGAGGCAACAATGACACACATAAATGCACTTTTGACTCAGCTGCCCGGGCAGTATTGTGGGAAGAGATGCAAAACCCAAAGTTACTTGATTTAATTACAGATGCATTTTACTAGCTTCATGTTTAATAAATAAATGTTTCTCGATGACATTAATTGTGTTAACCCTCTTTAGTATTTACTACAAGTGCATTACGGAAACATGTTTGAGCTTTCTCGATTGAGTTCTGAGTCTTTTTTAAATCATATTTGAATATTTTCCCTCCCAGGACTCCTTTGCATTGTGCAGCTTCCTGTAACAGCGTCCACCTCTGTAAGATGCTGGTGGAGTCAGGGGCGGCCATTTTTGCCACAACAATTAGTGACGTGGAAACAGCAGCAGACAAATGTGAAGAAATGGAGGAGGGCTATACCCAGTGTTCCCAGTTCCTCTATGGTAGGTTCATACAGACAGAAACATTGTGACCCAACAAAACGTAACTCAAAAATAAATTTAAAAACTGTGAAATCTCTACTGAAAGCAACATAATCATAACTGAAGTTGTGATTCTAACCATGAACACTCTGTACCTCTCACAGGCGTCCAGGAGAAGTTGGGTGTGATGAACAAAGGCCTGGTGTACACTCTGTGGGACTACACGGCCCAGCAGGTCGATGAGCTGTCCTTCAGCGAGGGCGATGCCCTCACCGTGTTGCGTCGCCGTGACGACACCGAGACGGAATGGTGGTGGGCGCGACTTAGCGACCACGAGGGATACGTACCCAGGAACCTACTGGGGGTGAGAGAACGCTAAGACACTATTACAACATACACCTTTCCATAAATATTTATATATTTGTTATATCATCTTTTTATTAGTTTCACTCATGGGAATAAAGACAAGACAATTCAGAAAGCATTTGGAACTCTGAGCCATTCACATGGGAGTAGTAAGTCCTAAGTTACCTGCCCCTTACTCAAAAAAAAATGGTCGGTCGATCACAGTTGCTTATTAACCAATACTAACAGCAACATGAAAACAAACAAAATAATGAACCATCAGAGAAACAGATTAGATGGAATCTTCATACTGTAGAATGACTCTTTCTGTATCAAATTTATTGGACTGAATAGTTGGACCATTCAGAGAGTGAGCTGGATACAGCACTGGAGGGGGCGCTAATTTTTCTATGAACATTTTCAGGCACTCTTCCATTTCCAATTCGACCAAAGCACATGCGCATTTGTGATGCATTAAGCCCCACCTCCCTGCCTTAAACTCCTGTTACGCCTCACGTTCGTTCTCAGCTCCACTTAATGAACTGAGACAGAAAATAAGTCTAGATTCTACTTTTAGCGTATTTAACAACTTAATTCTTGTGTAATTCAGTTTTTACTGAGTAAGTGGGGTTTGAATACTTAAATTAAGCATTTCAATATGTTACAAAGTTTCACTTCTTCCACATAAAAAATACATACAATTAAAAAAATATATATGAAAAATGTAAAGAATAATAAATTAAAGAAACATACAAAGAGATAGAACATCAAGCAGTTGATGAATACAACGGGTGTCATCAAAGCTGATTCACAGACATCACTTTCCCAACTGGGAAAAGTATAAGACAACCGTTGTTTGGTTAGAATAATATAATTGTCTTTCACACAGGGTGAGGGAACTATGCATTATTGAACAGGGCTGGTGCTTCTGTGCAGAGCCGGTGAAGCCTCAGACAGGGCAGAATGCTCAGGACTCATTTATTGTACCAGTAAACCCAGCTATAAAGCCTTAATAAAACCGTCCATCACTGTGTGCCTTGGCATTAACAGAAAGAAGTATGTGAAATGTAAATGTACCCACACTCTTCTAGTGAACGAGCTGTGATCAGCAGAGGAAACTCAGCCACCTTGAGAGCCATGTTAACATGATGTAATAACCCTGCCCTCTCTTTCTCTCTCCAGCTGTATCCAAGGATAAAACCCAGACAACGCTCACTGGCGTAAAGCCCAGATCAGACGCTACGTGCACACGCGCATGCATAGAGAAGAAGAGGAGCCACATGTGGGAGGAAGCATTATCCAGGGAAGAAAGAACAAAGGTAGCAGGAAAAAGAGAAAACAAAGAAGGAGCTCGCAGGAACTTTTTCCATTTGTTTGGATGTGATGCTGGAACCACAAAGCCACTTTATGCTAGAATCATAATATATATTTTCACTGCAGTAAAAGGAAATTGCCTGTTATTTTGAGTTTGGCAACTTCACACTAGTTCAGCCGCATGAGAGAAGCTAAGTAGAAAAATATCTTGAGGCTCAGGACATGAAAACACGAGCTCAGATTCATCCAAATAACCTCATATTTGAACTTTATTTTTGTATGGTGTAAGGAGAAGTGGAGAGAAGATTGAAATGCAGTACAGGTTAAAGTAAGTGTGAAGGAGAAGCAGGACAGAGGAACGTGAGGTAGTGTGTCTCTGAATGTGTTAAAGGGATTTAGATGGAGCAGTGTTAGTCTGGATTAAAGTTGGATGTGCAACCACAAGACTAACAAAACACGATCCAGCAAGTTTATGATGCATGGTGATCCTCAGCAAACCACATGTTGACAATAAAATGTTATGGCATGGTAACAAAACCTTTCGTTTGAACTGACACCAGAAGAATATTTCATTTCTGGCAAAATAATAAAAGGAGCATCTGTAAATGATTATGAATGTCTCAAACGTTTACTATAGAGTGGTGCAGGAATGATTCCTAAACCTAGGAAATGAGTTAGGATTTTATTCATTTTAAATTCTCACCTTTTTTTTAACCTGTTTTTTGTTACATGCCTGTATTAAGGTCTGTGGTTAACCCAAGCTGAAGAGACTTTCGCGCTTTGTCCTGCGACATAAAATACGTCAGTAAACACCACACTTACTTGCTTCTAAATAAGACTAAACGTCATCACGCCCACCATTAGCCACCTTTAGCTTAGCCGTGGTGACCTGAAGTCATGTGATTCTGATGTAGCTTTTTTATAGCCCATGTTAATATGTGGAGGTTATCCTGCTGAACAAAGCGTGTAAGTAACAGATCCATGTGTCTGCCCCAGAGTTTCTTTTCTGGAATATTCCCAAATCCAATAGAAACATTCCATTGCCTTTTTTTCTAGAGAGCCCTTGCGATGCTAACCTCCAGGTCGGACCGAAGTATGTCATTACTGCACAACTCGACTCAGCACTGGTCCATGCTGTCATATTAACATCTGTTTAACTGTAGAATGGTTGCTGCCAGTAAGAGAGGAGGAAGTAAGGAAATCGAAGAATGTGAGAAAAGGATTTTTGAAATTTGAATAATGTTGTCAAACCAAAGCAGCTATGAAATGGGAATAAGGAGATGACAATTTTGTACACATTTAAATAAAACCTCTTTAAATGTTTACACACAAAACACCTTTTCCAGTAGCCTATAGGGCCTGGCACATATTGGCTATACTGATACCAGGTTGAAACGCAACAATATGATAAGCCTGTGTTCCCCATCCATAATAAAACATATTGAAAAATATAATTGTACACATATTCATGGTTAACTGCTATAGTGTTAAAATGAAGAATCTAAAGTGTGAAAACAATGTGACCTTCTCAAAAGTTAATGTTTAATGCCAATGATTTGTTGTTTCATTTAAACACTTGTTTTTCTACTGTTACTGTTATTATTAGAAACACTGCTGTCATTTCTTCATGTCAGTGCTGGCACCACTCACTGCTGCCCCCTAGTGTACAGAACATGCTGTGTAAAATATGAGGCAATAAGTTGTGATGTTTGGTGTGAGAATGAGGTGTGTGAACCATTACTTTGTGTATATGCAACCTGTAACTACACGGCTAATGTATGATAATAATAAAGAAGTTATAATCCCGTACAGAGAAACAATGCTGTCACTGATTTACTCAAGATTGTGTCATAGTAACGTGAATAATGAGGGGAAAAAACATCATAAATACACAAACACTCTCACACATTCCCACCCACACGAACACACACACACACATCCCATCATCCAAGCCTGGTAATAAATGGTGGACTTTAGAGTTCTCAGGTCATTAAAGTCTCTGCACCGACAGAGGTTTTCTTCACACGTAAGTTTATTTCTACTAAAAGTCTATATTTTGTAACCATTTGCAAATAGTGTTTGAATCCAAGGAAATTATACAACCTTCCCTTGTTTCAAGAGCTAAACAATACTGTCTTAAAATACAAAAATGTGTAATGTTACCACATAAAACAGTATAAGATAAGAAAGAGTTGTTGGAACAACCAAAATATATGCCTGGAGGTTTATCTGTGAATTTCTCTGGCCATCACAAATATATAAATAAAGGTTTATATATTTATAGAACTTCTGCTGATTTTATGCTTTTTTTTCTCTTTTTCCTGAATATCTTGTAATATACTGCATGTTTAGCCCACTTGCATTGCCTTAAAGTTGAACGTAGACAAGATACAAATAACAATGTGATGGCCTGCGCTGGCCTGCCCATAAGACAGAAATCAGGTCTTAACATGGTACAGTTGCTGATCCCATTTAGTGACATGTGCACATTTATAACACATTGCCGTTCAAATAGCAATTGTAATCATATTGTTGAGTATATTTGATACATTATGATCTAAAAATATCCCAATAAATAAATACTGTTATTTCTGAAAAAGTTTTACAAGTTGCAATTTTATTTTTGTTCCCGGAAGTGGTCTTGTTTTGACGCTTGCTCTGCTACTCTCATGATTGCTACATCATTTAGCATGATGTACCGTGCATTGAAACTATGAACATTTTTTTTAAACAAATTAACCAGGTCGCTCTTAGGCCGGGGGATCTCGCGGGAGAGGCTGGTTGGCAACACTGGACTGTGACTGGACGAGAGATGGCAGAGGGAAGTGACGAGGCATGAAGCGAGTTAGGAGACATGGACGTAGCAGGCGGGAGTTGTTAAAATGGAAAATGGGATATAGTGAGGAGAAAGAAACGTAAAAAGGGAGGAAATACTAATTCGGATGAGAGCAATAGTGAGGGGGAAAGGAGAGAAAGAGTAGTCGGAAATAGGCAACAGGAGTTCATGGTGGTTGTGAAACTTGCGCAAGAGGGAGCTTCGTTCGGCGTGTGGAACCCTATACGCTTAACTAAATCCATCAGTAAAGAAATCGGGGAGGTAATGAGTGCTAAAGTATTGAGGCGGCCCCGGGGCCGCACTGAAATAAGTGTACCTCGAGGTCAACCTTTGGGGTGACGTTGGGGGACCACCTAGTTCTAGTATACGTCGACGCGATAGGTAATATTAATGTAATTATGATAAGTGCCCCCCAGAGTTCAGTTCGACCTCCAAAAGGGAACTCGCTCCCGTCTAGTGCATTGGTTAGGTGTCGGGGTAGCGCAAAAGTTGACAGCTTTACAGGCGATGTAGACATATTAAGGTTATTCATAGAAAGGCCTTCGGAAAAACATAAAGTTTCCAATAGTCTTGGCTCTCCGGATAGAAGAAATTTAGGGTAACGCAACAAGTAGCACCTTGTAGTGAATAAAAATGTAACAAAACAATTAAGGGAAGTGTAGTGTCGACTATAAGACTGCCTAAGGAAAAGTGTTGAGGGACCTGATTCGAAAGAATGGTCGACCTTGTCACTTGTAAAGTGAAACAATGGGAAGGTACCGTGAGTAAGAAATAACGAGAGGGGACACGAGGAGCATAGGGTGTTAACTATTT